AGCTGTTTTCTGCGGAAGATCCTGAAACACACACGCGCCGGGGTGGGGGTGTGGGGTGAGGTGGGGGTGTGGCAGTGTTTTAATAATCTTTTACGCACGCATCAATTGGAGTTATAACTCCGAGAGGCCGAGGTGCAGGAAAGTACTTTGCTTTCATAGGTACAATTCATTGGAAGGCAATTGACGGTCGTGATTAAGTGCGCTGATGTGGGTCACTAACAAAGATAGTGCTGTCAAACACTGGATGCAAAGTGCTCTGTGAGAGTGCCCGTAGAGCACATGCTTAATCGTGGATAAGTGCACATTAATTTACCGTGCACCTCTGAATTACAGCTCTTTTCGCCGTAGCTCAGAGCCGGCACGTGTGTGAAGACAAACAAAAACAAAACAGCTTCGAATGGTTTTACATTAGCACTGTACTAACGGCGCTAATACCACTTTCCTCTGACAGACGGAAATATCAGGCATAATCAGCTACTTCCAACGAGAGGAACGACAGCAGCGACTTGAGGGCTTGTGGTTTCTGAGGGTGTTATCCCTCTCCGCCCCTTGTGTCATTTCCCTTCTCGTGGCTGGAAGGATGGACGCAGATGAGTAGATGTGCTGAGTTTTCCCCGGAAGCAGAAACAGATTCATCCGGCACTGGAGCAGAGACTTTTATTTCACATTGAGACAAAAGAATGTATAAATATAGCTTGAGCTCAGCAACTCAAGATGCCAGCGACTCCTCTCATTATCTCCACTCCTGATAGCAGCAAAGAGAGAAGACTAATGGACTAACCTCTGCTGCTATAATCGCTTTTTTATAGTCTCCTATATAAGAAGATCTCCCTTCAGGGAAGATTAAAATTTCTATTTTTACTGCGCGAACGTCCACATCAACTGAGAAGCTCACCACGCAATCCACGTAATATTAAACGATTTAAACCTTTTTACTTGTTACTGTTGATTTTTGTTCCAAGTTGTCTCTTTGATTTGCGGCGCATCACTTTTACTTGAGCATTAAGATTTCACGCTTTACATTAATCATTCAGGGAATAACACATTAATCCAAGGCATGAAATTATGATCTCCCATTTCCTTTTCCGATCTGACAACAATGGATTTAGCACCGTAAATGGATTATGGTTCATGTTCTTTATCTTCTGCAATACAATTGCTGTAAATATGAATTTAGGAGATCAAGCAAATTTGGCTTCATTGTTAAGAAGCTTAGTGTGGACGAAAAAGGAAATAAAAAAATCAAAAGGCACAAAAACAGAAGACCTACTGTCTATTCCAGAGTGACCGAGGTTTAGAGCTGCTCCCGCTCTAAAGGCCACTTCCTAAATCCTGTTCTTCCCTGATTCTGTTTGCTGGCTGCTGCACTGCCCTCAGGCTGTTGTTTCCACAAGCCACAGTGATGGTTTGCATAGCTTATCATTACACATTTTCTCACGTCTGGCCTTTCCTCTCCCTCCTGCTGCTTCTGTTTAGCATCTTTTCACGAGATAACCAGCGAAATGCCCCCCCCCCCCTTTAACCACGGTTGGCATGGGCACTGTGTCTTGCCCAGCGGCTGAGGAAATCACCAAAATATCAGCGAAAGGGACAGAATGTGACGGAACGCAGCCGGCCAGTGAGAACAGTTTGTTTAACGAGTGCTCAGAAGCAGCCTGGCTGAGTGTGCCAATGCAGCGTTTTGTGAGCCTAACCATTCATTATGAATGGAAGTTCTGCAAAAACTGTATTTCCTTCTCGCCATGATCACAGCTTGTGTGTGCGCTGGAATGTGAGTGCTTTTCTGTGTCTCTTGACTCCGTGCTCGTCTTTCTTTGCTTCCATGTCTGCCAAAGAGATTGTCAGATGAGCGTCAGGATGGAAATCTACTGACAATGGCCGTGATGTTTTAGTTTTTTTTTTTCTCCTGCATTTCATATTCCTCTGTGATGTAACGCGCTAAAGCAGCTGACAGTTTGTCATCATGCCAGTCAATCTTTCCTGCCTGCGTGCGACGACTTCAGTTGTGATGTGTCAACACGCTGAACTTGTTGTGTTTGGTGTTGTCAGAGAGAGACAGGCATCTGCTTCATCGTGTGTTAAGAGAAAAGCTGATATCGCATATTGATGTTGATAATATCAGTTGTTGTTAGAGCCACAGCATCATGGCAAAAATATCAGGAGCTCAAATTCCAAAGCTGCTGATTTAAAGCAAAAAAAAAAAAAGAAGCTTAATTCCATTCGCTGCTGACACGGTCATGCCCTCTTCTTTTTCTAGGTCAGTAGGTGACGATGATTTAGTGTGAATCATTCCTGGTTGCATTTATATGTTAATTTCCTTCTTGGTAATTCTGACTCCTCATAAACAAAAGAAGAGAAACAGAGCTTTGAACTGAAGCGTACGAGAGGTGAAGTGTTGTTGTTCCTATTCTCTTCAAGTCTACTCCTCAGCTGCATAGTACAGAGAAGACTCTGTCAAGTGCAACAAAGAGGTGGTCATGCAATCAACTTAAACAAAGACTTCATTCCCCTCTGTTACCGAAAGCAATATGAATGGATAACCTTTGTGGAGGCTTTTATTTACAGCGTTCAGTGGCTCCCTTTTTCTTCCTCTGCCTCTGCAGCTGTTGCCACAACATGAGGGAGCGATGCATATATTTCTTCCAACGACAGGGGAAGAGGAGACGAATAAAAAGGAGAGGAATAAAAGATGGATGGGGGTAAATGTTGTATACACATATACGATTAAGGAGTGGGGGTGCAGCGAATGCTCTAAAGGGCAAAAGGCTGCGGGGCTCGAGCGAAAAGCTGGCTCAGCAGGAGGCTGATTATACCACCAAAGGGATCCACTTTGCACATCGAGCAAGTACAAACTCAAACAAAGGAGCGAGGCGGCACACAGGCAGCTGAACGTGAGGGTGGGGGTCTGGCTCTCGCTGCTTTCTCAGAGGCAATGGCACTTTTATGACCATGCTAATAAACTGCTCTTGGGACAGAGCACCTCCCACACCTCCGCCTGCACACACGCCATGAACAGCTTGACTGGGCCTTAGGACCAGTGTTTATGGACACATGGATCAATACGCTCCCTGAGGGTCTATATTTAAGTCGGAGCTGAGGAGCATACCCGTTGATCACAGGGGGAGGGGAGGGTCCCCAGGATGGCCATTACAAGATTTGGACAGGGGCTACGAAAGGGCGGACACGGTTCAGAGCGAATCCCAAATCGGCTTTGCAAATCAAACTTGTCTCAAACACAGTCGCTGCAGTAGCCTGGATGAGCAGTATCTCTCCACGTAACACCCCCCTTCCCTATCTTCAACTGCAAGTTCTTGTTCATTTAAGGCGCCTTGGCTTTTTCATTCCAGCCACATCTTTCACCCTTGATTCTCTGTGCCTTCGCTGCTGCAAATGCAAATCCGGAGCGTGACAAACGATGTAGGGCCGTCTCTGACACGTTCAAGCCCCTAGCGTCCCCTATGTTGCTCCCCGGCTTACCTCCTCCGGCTCCACAGTAATTACCCTTGTTGGATCGCTACACCTAATCATACTTGATTTTGGGGATGCACCACTTTTGTCTCCACACCCCTCCCACTCCTTGGATCTGATAGAGTACACTCATAATACTGGGGAAAAGAGGCACACACACACAAATACAAATATACTGTATATTCCTTTGGGTGGTGTTTTCATGAGGAAGCATGTGTGCAGATGCAACACTATCGCTGATTCATTTAAAGATGACTGTTGCGCTGCCAGAGGTTAATCCCTCTACAAGCTGATCATGTCAGCAGGAGATGAATAGAGTGAAATGATTTAAAAACAACAACAGCAATGTTTAGAAAAGAATAATTAATAGATTCAGACTCTTTACAAAAAAAAAAAAAAGCTCCTTAAAAGGCGGGGAGCGAAGGGGAGGGGCGCATGGAAGCGGCTCCCAATTTGTTCTCACTTGTTCCAGTAATAGGATCCAGGCCTTCCTTTCCAATGGACGAGATAATTAAGTCCTGGGGACAGACTGCACCGAGCTGTGTCTCTCGGTTTATGGCACGTGGAGAGAGATCCCCTCAGCTCAGGCTGAGCATGGTTGCGTGAATTACAGACTTTAGCTTGTAGCATGTTTTAACACATAATTACGGAAAACGGATAAATGAGTGATGGCTTGTTGTCAGAGTGAAAATGGTGATGGGAGGTGATCACTGCCATAAGATTGCACCTTGTAAGATTTGCACTACTACTAATCAGTATTACTCATTCATTCATTCATTCTACCCAGTATTGTATTTTATTTTTTAATTTATATTTTAGGCGTCTATTTTATTTTATTACTTTCGTCTTATTTTATTTTATTTTTTATATTCTATTTTTTACTTCCTTATGTTATTTTCCATGTGTGGTTTTCTTTCCAAATATTTTGAACATGGCTAGAAGGGAGACTGTGACCCAAGAATTTAAATGCCCGGGACGGCTGCATGTAATTGTTGAGTCTTGAAACTTGTTATGCAAGAAAATAGAACACAAGGATTTCAGTTTATTCCAATTTTTTTTTTTTTTTTGCAGAACATCTAAAAAAGCTCTATGTATAATCATGACAATACACATATCAATACGTGTATAGTATCAATATATAACTGTGATATGTAGATACGTTTAGATATATTTTATTGGGCTGTCCAAGGCCTTATGAGAAATGTGAGTCTGTGGTTCTTAGAAACCACTTGCTCATTGTGTGACAGTGTCAGTGTGAGTCAGGTCAGGCTCATTTCCTCTGCTGTAACCTGCCTCTCTTTCCTGCATCGTCCAACTCTGCCCAGCAGCTCCTCAGGAATGTGCACCATAATGGTTTCCGCCAATTGTCTCGTTAAACCTCCACTCGCTCACTGAGGCTAAACTTTGACCTTTCGAGCATCTTTAATGAAGACACTCTCCCAGTCATTTGCATGTGTTTCCTTTATGTGAAATGTGAGTCATGGTTTGATGTCTAACGTCTTATCTCTTTTTCCCTTTGTTTTCTTTTCCAGAAACATGTGAAGACCCTTGCAAAGTTTGGACCTGAAAATTTGCTTTCAACAACAAAAAGGCAAAGGTCTCCTCCCTTCTGCCCCTCATCCATTCTCTCTGCTTCCTCTGCACGTCCCTTGCAGGCCCGTTAAACATGGAGGGCCGGCGGGCTACACGCAGGACTTTATCACCTGAGGGTGTAGCTACTTTGCTAGTCCTCTGGCTCTTAGCATTCCCTGTCTTTTGCAGTGGACAGACATTTACTAGTTTCCACCCTGAACGCCGGGACTGGGTCTTCAACCATTTGACGGTTCACCAAAACACAGGAGCGTTGTACATTGGAGCGGTCAACCGTGTGTACAAGCTCTCAGGCAACCTGACCCTCCTGGTGTCCCATGATACAGGCCCAGAGGACGACAACAAGGCCTGCTACCCTCCCCTGATTGTTCAGCCATGTTCTGAGCCCCTTGTCGCGACCAACAATGTCAACAAGCTCCTCCTCATTGATTATTCTCAAAATCGGTTGCTGGCCTGTGGCAGCCTCTACCAGGGCGTCTGTAAGCTCCTCAGGTTAGATGACCTCTTTATCTTAGTGGAGCCCTCTCATAAGAAAGAGCACTACCTCTCCAGTGTCAACCAGACTGGGACCATGTACGGGGTCATCGTGCCTTCACAAGGCCAGGATGGGACCCTGTTTATTGGCACAGCAGTAGATGGAAAACAGGACTACTTTCCCACCATCTCCAGTAGGAAGCTGCCCCGTGACCCAGAATCCTCAGCTATGCTTGACTATGAATTGCACACCGACTTTGTGTCTTCCCTCATCAAGATACCATCAGACACACTGGCACTGGTCTCCCACTTTGATATTTACTATGTTTACGGCTTTGCCAGCGGCAGCTTTGTTTACTTCCTGACTGTCCAGCCTGAGACCCCAGAGAACAGCATGTCATCGAGTGGCTCCTCCAACGACCTCTTCTACACCTCTCGCATTGTCCGCCTCTGCAAAGATGACCGCAAGTTTCACTCCTACGTCTCCCTCCCCATTGGCTGCGTGAAAAACGGTGTTGAGTACAGGCTCCTGCAGGCCGCCTACCTCGGCAAACCGGGGCGTGTCCTCGCCGCCTCGCTCGGCATCAACGCCCAGGATGATGTGCTCTTCACCATCTTCTCCAAGGGCCAGAAGCAATTCCATCACCCGCCAGATGACTCAGCACTGTGTGCCTTCACCATCCGAGACATAAACGCACGGATCAAGGAGCGCCTGCAGTCCTGCTACCAGGGAGAAGGAAACCTGGAGCTCAACTGGTTGCTTGGGAAGGATGTGCAGTGCACCAAAGCGGTGAGTTACAGTGAGAAATGATGATTGAAAACATATTTACGCAGACAATATCTCTTTCATGTGCTTCATGTGATTTTATTTCTGCTTTCGTACACATAGTATTCATCAGTGATCAGGACTTGTTCTTTCGGGAAAAGTAAATTATTATTTCTGCTGTTTTGCACGTCGATATTTTTAGATGAGGCAGATGTGCAGTAGAGTATTTCTATTCTACCTTATTTGTACAGTGCCAAATCACGCCATGCACTTTCTTGATTACATTTTAGACTAAGGCATTATTGAGAAAAACCCAAAAGTTCCCACAATGAGCAAACACTTGGTGACAGTTCAGAGGTAAAACTCCTATTAACGTTCAAAGAAACTCTCCATTGGTTGTAATCATGCAATGGTCCAACAACATCTACATCTTGTTTATTTTCCCAAAACAAGATGGTAAACAGTAGGAGACTGACCAAAGCTTCTCAGTGAGCCGAGAAACCTCAGCGTTCAAAGTTTTAGGGCGTGTGCTGTAATGAAAATAAACTCAGCACTAATCAGGAAATGCTTTTGAAACATCAAATTGCTATCAAATCTCAAAGTGTGTGTTGTAAAGTCAAAAAAGTACATGTTCATAAATTAGGAGGGATTCTTTTTCTTGTCTTTGTTTTTTATTATCAAAGGGTTCTCATTCTGCTTGAGCACAGTATAAATAAACACACACTCCTTCTAGAACAAGGCGAAGCAGTTCAACTTACTCTGCTTCTGACGCATAGATCACACACCAGTCTATTCCTACTATATCCCCAATTATCCTATAATACAAGGCCGTGTATCTGTTACATGTTGTCATGTGGAATTAAGTTTCTTGATTTCCCTTCAGTCCCAGGAGGCCGCAGTCCTCTGTGGTTTCATTCAGTAATTGCTATCAGGAAGTGAAAAAATACAAAACATTAAAAATTAATGACTAGCGAAACGTATGCCCAAGTCATTTAGAATGGGTGTGTTGTAGGTCTGCATGTGTGCAGGAAGGGCCTGTGATCGCTGAGTGTTTATATTTGTGTTCTGGTTTTTATTTTAGTATTATTGAGTAAGTGTTTAATGGTATCCCTCTTCTCACAGCGTTGACAGCCTCTGATCAGCTTCCTTTGTCGATAATCCCCCCTAGAGTCATTTAATTGGCCGCTCTTATTAAAATCAGTAAAGTCCCCATTAGCTCAGTGTCAAAGGTGATTGTCGGGATTGAGGGAGAAATTAACTCAAACCATCGCCGTTGGGTTTTATTAGCTCCACAGAGAAGGCGGGGAGAAGCAGGCGTATGGCGATGACAGTACTGAGGTAGGGACGCTCTAACTGTGGGAGCTCAAATTAGAACCTGTCTTCAGTTTCCCAGAAGAATCCCCAATCATCTCAGTATGCTCAGAAGGGTTCCAGTCAATCCCTGCAAAACTGCACCTCCCACTCCATTCTTTAGACATGCACTGTTATAACATCCATCTCTTCTTTTGCATTATACACCAAACTATACGCAAGCTTTGCGCATGTGTAGCCACGGAGATAAGAAGATGTAAAATACAGTCCTTAAGACCGTGTCCTTGTGCTCAATGAACAGCCAGTAAATCCATAGTATAATATGGATTATGCAGATAGATGTCAATGGATGAGGAACTTTTAAAGCCTATACAAATTACGTTTAACAAATGAATACATCAACCATGCACCAAAATTGTCTGCTTGCCGTAATCCCCTACTCAAGTCGTGCGGCTGCTCTAAAGTGCACATATGTTCCACATCTTGTCTTTCTTAAATAAATATGTTCCTGCAACTCTGTGTGAGGTATTTTTAGAGCACCCATGTCTGAGTTTCATCAGAATATGAGGTGAATCAAGGTTAGACCAACCCGGGAGAATGTTGGTTTTTCTTTCCTGTTAACCGTTAACTTTACCTCGCTTGGAGTAAATTACACATGCAGTCCGAGCGCCTTTCCTCTGGTCCTTGCTAACAGCATGTAGCCAGCGAGCTCAAACCCGAGAACCTTAATTATACCCCCAGCTCCCATTCCTGTCTTGCAGACATTTCACTATGTGCACGCTTACTCACAGGCCAAGGCTGAGGCCGGGAATGGAACTGATGGACCGAGCCAGGGGATTCAGACACAGCAGCCAGTCAAAGATTTATCGCCCAGCCGTCCAGCCTTCTGCCATCTGGAGATTCTCTGTAGTCACTTCCACAGAGGAGGGCCATGATAGAATTCTTTCGGTATCAGACTGTTTGTGTGTCTGCGAAACACTATCATCCTTTCTTGCTTCTTGCTAATGCCCCAACAGCTAATTAACGACTTGTGAGAGCAAGGGGGAGCTGCTGCTGATAACACTGATATACCCTGGGAGCGAAGGTATCCTGTCACATCCAATTCATCAGTCATTCAAATTCCACACGAAATAAAGCACTTGATGTCCTTGTTAGACACGATTATGTAGTTTACTGTTGAAACCGGTCACGGTTACAACTGTTTTCTCCGTATTGATTAAATATTATGCTGTATTGTGAGTTGCTCAATAAGATCTAATCACATAGAGTAACCTTTTTTTAGTCTCTCCAGAGCCCTGCTAAAGGTAATCAATGTCATCTGTGTGAACGAGTCTGAAAATGTGGTAAACCTACATTTCTGCACTGCCCTGTATTTGTGAGGAAAAACAAAACAAAAAAAAAACATCTGCAAGAAGGTGAACAAGAAAACGCAACCGCACGGAGTCCATGGGGATTCGGGTCGGCTGCCAAGTCTGCTAAGTGTACATCATCTAAACAGTCTAGATATAATCAGAACCACATGGTCTGGAGCCCAACAGACCATATGTGGAGTAGCTGCATGCATGTGAGGGTGTAGATATTGATAAGCCAAAGTCTGGAGCGCTCGGCTGCCTCTCCAGAGAGCTGCTTGCTGTCCTGCCTGACCAATTCTCCGTGTGCATGTTTAGTCAGCACATGTTTAAAACAGGCATTACACTGCTATGTGCAGCACATTTAATTTTATAATCAGAAGAGTAAAGCATAATTTAAGCTCACCTGATTTTTTTTTTTTGCAGTGGAGTATAGCACAATAGCACTGTGCTATTTTGGGCAAAGGAAATAAAAGGAAATGCCATAAAGTGGGAGGCGTGACTGTAAGAGGCGATTATTCCCTGTCAGCATTATTGCTTCTGCTCTGCTCATGAAATTGTGCATAGAACTGAGAGGTTCTGCAGCCGTAGTGCACAGCAAGTGGCTGAGCTGCCTCCCATAGTGGGAAATGTCACTCAACATAGTCTGCTCACACAGTTCTGACAGGGACAAAGAGACGAGACAGACAGGAGATAGACATACTGACAGAAAGAGAATTAATGAGACGGGGTTGGAGAAAGGAGAAATATATATATATATAGGGTGAATAAGATAGAGTTTGTGAGGAAGAGACGATGGGATGTATACATGACAGGCTGGCCTGACCATCTCACTTTACTCCACGTGGCATTTTGAGGCCACTGCTACCCAGACTGTCTCAGCTGACCTGGTTCGACACCGGAAACACCACTGTCTTGCTCCTTATTCACCTCCTCCGCTTTCCCTGTCGCCTCTTGTCTCATAATCTCATCTTCGCTCAAACCGAAAAGAAAAAAAAGACGCCTAAATGTTCCTCAAAAGTCAAACATCACAAGACTTTACTGCACAGGTCGTTTTCTTGCGAATGTGTAAATACGGTTCATCGCAGACACTTTGCTTACATGCATATTTCAGGGTGGCATGGTTATCATGCACTGTGATTGCCAGTGCGCGTAGTTATCATGCAGCGTGCGTCTTTCAGAGATGTGATGATAGGCCAGGGTAATGAGCCACGGTGAGAGCAAGGTGGAGCTCAGTCAGGCGGAGCTGAAACATGTCTGCCAAGTGGAACAGAAAGGCAAACGTTTGTCTGGCTGGGAAACTCGCTCCTGCACCTCCCTCCTCAGGCTCACCTCTCTCACCCTCTCATTTCCGTCTCAGACACTGTCTGACATCGCCGCCACTTCCACAACTTTGACCATTTGCTCTCCCTTCCTGTCTCACTCTATCACCTTCATTTTTCCTCCTTACAGCGTCTTCATAGTTCTCTGCTCCTCAGCAGCTCCACTCTACTAATGTCTTATTCTCTGAGTCTAGCTCTCTAAGGTCTTTTAATCCCTCCCTCTTCCTGTACTACATTTCATTACAGGGTTTTGTTTGATGTGACACATCTGTCCCATAAGCCCTATCACCTTTTTTTTTTTGTCTCTCATTTTTATTAATTGTCTTGTCGTTTATTCATTTCCGTTTCTCTAACCTTCGTTCCTCCTGTCTTCCTCCAGCCGGTGCCCATTGACGACTCTTTCTGTGGCCTGGACATCAACCAACCACTCGGAGGTTCCCAGCTGGTCACCGGTCACACTCTCTACACTGAGACCCGCGACCGCATGACTTCTGTCACCTCCTACGTCTACAATGGCTACTGTGTGGCCTTTGTGGGCACCAAGAGTGGCAGGCTAAAGAAGGTGAGTACCAGCTCCTCTCCTCTTCGTCGACCTGTAGCAGGAGATATCTGCTCACTCCATCACTGTGATAAGGACTCAGGCCTGTCCAGTGGTCCGTGGGGCACAGACACTGTGAAGTGTTCCTATTTCCGTGCAGATGGATCATGGTCACAGAGAAACTTATCTCCTTAATATTTAATGCCGGCTGTCAAAGCGTCGGAAAGGGGTAATGGCGATGGCTAGCTCAGTGTAGTGGTTATTACCAGCTCCTTGTTATGTGAGCTCCAGTGTTGCAGTGTTGAATAACCTGCACTGGCCCATTAATTTTAATAGGCACCTTTCTGCCTGTGGCACAGTGCGAGGCAAAAGCGAGAGCAGGTCCATGCACTAAACCTCCCAGCATTGGTTAGAGAATACAGACGGCTGCTGCTGTCCGGTTAATAATCACAGATTTCCCCCTGAAACAAGGCATCAGGTGAGATTCTCCCTGAACGGTGAAGAAAGTGAGCTTTTCGGTAAATGTCAATCGGAAATATCTGTGTTTTACTGATTACTAATTTCAAACGTCACTCCAGACAGCTGCTGGCCGGACTGTACGTCGAATGTTTAAATGTTAGCGCTGTGTTCTAATGCAGATAACGTGTGTTTGCATGAGTGCATTGTTTGTCGTGCATACTGAGGCTCTGTAGACGACATTCAGACAGCTGGGTGAAGGATTTGTCAGTATTCGCTTGGCTCCTCCTCCCATGGGGCTGCTTTTTTGAGTGACAGCAGGAGTGTGTCACAGGACCATAACTGGCTCATACAGCCCCCCCCCCCTCCTCCTAACAGCTGCATGCAGCTCAGAGAACGACACTCAGAGGGGAGGAGGGCTACTAAAACCATTTTGATACCTGATTTGGCAAGTTCTTTGTGATTTCTTTCCTGGCAATGCAACACAAATGGCGCTGGCCAGAGTTATTTTGGTCTCCATCTATTCATAATTAAATCAATACACCAATCTGACTGTGGTGGAGAGAATATTCATTCGATGTAATCCCCCGTTTGGGCTGTTTAATAATTTAGCACCCTTTTCTACTTGGTTACATTAGATGAGACAGAAAAATGTGTTTTCCCCACTGTGTTGCTGTTGCCTGTGTATTATTTTTATCTTCCGTCTCTCCACACTCTTGTCTGTAGCTGCCACCTGCCTTCTCCCAGTGCTCTATCTCTCTTTCCTATCCCTGTTTGAGAATCCATGCAAAATAGCCTTGTGGGCTGCTGTGTACTCTTCACAGGGGCATGACTGTAACCACAGTAACGCTAACATGGGCTGGAGTTAACCAGGATATGAGAAGGGCACCTAGAGAATAAGAACCACGATTCAGGGGCCGGGACAGAAAACGTAGAAGAGCATTCAACCCGAGGGAACAAGAGAATGTTGTTATTTTGCAACAAGTATGGAGTTTTCCCTTCATGTCATTTGATGTAGCGTAGATGAGAAGATGCAGGAAATGTACTTTTGCGAAAGATGACATGAAAACTGTTTCTCAACATTGTGAGGAATGAGAGAAATCGTCAGTGTAACGAGTAATGAAACATTGATTATCTCTCTCAACAAGCGGCACAGAACTGGAACTGCAGACTATTTGTACTGCAAGTTCATCTGTGCTTTTGGTGTCTGCTCGTGTTTTAGTGTAACGTCGCTGCTGAAGTGCGAGTTTGCTGGATTCTATTTGAACCTGATTTGTTTGAATTTGTGTGACAGGACCAGGTGCTGCCAGCACTCTACAAAAAAAAAAAAAAACTGAAATTTGCATTCAAGTACAAGGTTGTGATTTGCATGCAAACGTGTTTTGACGATCATGGACTGTTCATCAAATGTGCATGTAAGAGACAATGACCACATTTAGCCTGCCTGGCAATCTGCAACACTGTGGAAGGAGAGAGCACTGCTTTTTAAATAGCTAATGAATAATCAATAATGCTGCATATCAACAGTGCCATTGTTGAGGTGGAAGTAAAAGTGTGGTCTAGGGACCTGCCTATAAAATCCCCATAAACATAAATCAATGAAGTTTAAGGTAAAGCCATGTTTTGAGGTAAGGGTGCAGGTTATATGGACAAAATGTGTGCGTGTGTGTTTCAGTGCATCTGAAGTATGCATGTGTTTTCGTGGAGGGTGCCTTCCACTCTCTCCCTCAGGTGTCACAGGGAGGGCAGAGGGAACGGCCGACCTGCAGAGCCTCGGCTGCAGCTCCTCTGCAGAAAGCTGATAAGCTCCTTCAGAGTTGTCTGAGACAAGTAGATGGGAGAGGAGGGTGCTGCAGGCCTCCTTCAGATCTGAGCATGACACAGCTATAGGCTGACAGATTTGATGCTTTGCTGGCAATACAGTTCCATACCTTCACCTTCTCTCCATGCAACCAAGAGAGACGGACAGATGGAGAGAGAGGGGAGGGGTGTGTTGTGTGAGAATGCACGGTTCAGGGGTGTGAGTCAGGATGAGGGAAAAAAAAAAAAATACGAAAAGAGTTTCAAGAAGAGGCAGAGATAGAAGGAGAAGGTGCTGGAGGAGGGAGGAAGAGACTGTTGAAATGTGAATTTAGTGCCGCCAAAGAAACCAGGGCTGCACCGCTGCCTGTAATTGGATTGGCTCCCTTCCCAAAGAATCCCCCCCTCCCTTCCCCTCCATCTCCCACTTCCCCATTCAATCCCGCTCCTCCTCCCCTCCGCCTCCCTCTTGCTCTCCCTGCAGACCAGCCCCTGTGTATGCTGCTGTTTCCTCGGCTTTGCTGGAGCACAGTGAAGCAGGAGGGATGGTGTTGGCGGATGCCGCTGCCAGTGGCAGGGTTTTGCAGGGGATTGATTGTGAGAGAGGGGTTAAGAGGGTGGGGGAATGAGCAGACACTGAGGTGAGGAGAATGCATATATAGAGTAATAGACTGCAGGAAACAATAACATTGCAGGTGTGAGTCACGTGCAGCGTTACTCACATGAGCAGGGTGTGAAGGGATTACGTTTTACTGTGCGATGTAGGATACGTGTGTGAAGGTGACGTATTCTCATTCCCAACCTGGAGTGAAACCTAGTACCACCATACAGCAGTAATGTGTTAAATGTGTAGCATGAGTGTCGGGGCGGCTTTCAGAAATCGGTTGTGGACTTCTGGGTGGCACCCCTGGAGGCAGTGATTGATTGTGGAGGGCAGTAGATGTTCACCTCAGCAGAAAGCTGCTCTGAGGTCGATCAATATCCCAGGTCCTCGTGTACTTTTTCTACCTACAGTGAAACCAGTTCCAATCAGGACCAGAGAGTAGACCTGCAGTCTGCTCTAAGTTTACGTCAGAATATTTTCCAGTGAGTTTTTATTTCAGTTTACGAGTTAATGTTAATTCTAGATTTACACAGATTCGCACCAGGCTTCGTCATCCACATTATCTCTCGTATGTATCTCCAGACCAAAAGACTGCAACACAGCTCTGTGGGTCAAAAGATTGAAATAGGCGATTTATTCTGAATACACATTACCAAAGGATTACATCATCTAAATTGGAATTGGCTGCACGTTGTTCGGAGTGTACTTAAGCGCAGACATATCCCACATGGGGACTGGGATTGTGGGGGGGGAGCAACTGTGGCAATGAGGAGCTGCCTTTGATATAGATAGAGATGAAGGGCACGGCCGCACATGTAAAATTGGATGTTGAAAGACCCGTCCCAGCAGTAGATGAATGAGGAGGTTAAAGGAAGCTGAGCCGAGACTCGTTCTGGATTCCCCTGTTAATCGCAGTCAACGAGAATGAAGATCCTCTATCCCAGCGTTCTCACACACCAGCAGGGGTTAAGTGCTATTGAACCAAAGACCAAGGAGATGCATCCCCAGATCTTCTCCTGCATTCTACAACGTGTTACTCACATCGAGGCTTATTTATTACAATATGTAATTAGGTAATTATGCTACGATATAAATATATATATACATTTTATTACAACAATGGCACATACTTCCATAGTCACCTTAATTCCAGTCGTTGCACCATAATTATCATTCCTCTAAATATGCCTGATTTCTTTTTCATAAAGATCGATGCCCTATTCCCTGGGGAATCAGTGAAAATGTTGAAAAAAAACAGTTAAAAACTCAGTGGAAAGAAATTCCTGGATCTGCCCTTTGTCGGGATCCTTGCCAAAATTTAATTTGGTCTTTCTAGGCTCATGTTCCATCCGTCCAACAAATTTCGTGGAAATCTGTCCTATAGTTTGTGCATAACAAACAAACAAACAGACAGAGGCAAAAACAAACCCAGATATAAAAAGAAAACTGTTTTTCCAGAAGTTTTAGGCTATTATTTCCCGTTCCTCTAATCTGCACTGCATGCAGAGACTTCTCCATTCAAACAACCACAAATTATGGTGGTGGATGTGTGTGTTGAACTGAAGTAAGGGGTTGATTAGTGGGGGGTTGTATCAGCAGTAAACCATTCATGAAAGAAAATGTCTTCCGGCTCTTTATCCTTCAAGCCTTTAACGATGATGTGCTGCATTCAGCCTAATTGAATCTTCCCATCATGCCCTGATAAATAATCAGGAAATGGTTTGGATGATGCCCCTGGCAGCTGATGGGGACAACTTGAAAGGGTGGTTCAGGTGTTTAACTGGACAAACTGTTGAACTGGTTATTGTAAGCAGACGGGCCACGACCGACTCATGTGGCTCCCAAACCGGCCTGAATAGCGGCGTGGATGCGTGTTGTGCCGACAGTGCTTGAGTGTTGCTGAGGGTCGCAGCTGATCACGGGACATAAAGTGTCGGGGACTTGAAAGGCTTGTAAATGTAGGCAGCTGCTCCTGCCGGGCCCTGGTGGACAAGTGGTCAACCCCCCTCCAACCCCTCTCTCGCCCCTCACACTGTGCTGCGTTCACCCCATGATGAGCCTCAGGGAGTTAGTGCTTCCATTCGTCGCCCTCAGAGGAAACGTGATCCGAGCCCAGAGGCTGCTCACCTGCTTGATTTGTCCGGGCTCTGCTTTGCTGTGGTCG